CTTAAAGATTTCCCACACACATAAATCACAACCTCATACATAATTCCGTCAAATCCCAGCCGACAAATCATCAATTTCATCCCAGTACACAATTAAATATAAAACTCGCTAAGAATTGAAAGCCACGAAAAAAAAAGAAAAGGTTTTTCATTTCCAAAAAGAAAGAAACTTTATAATATCAAATCGCGCGCGAGCTTTCCTTCTCAATACCCGACCCAAATCAAAATCTATTCCCAAATGACAAACACTTTAATGTACACAAATAATTCTTTAGCTTCTTCTTTTTTTGCTTATTTTGTTTCACCATTAAATAACATTGTGGTTTACAATTTCTTGTTCCATTCTTACATTTGATTTGATTCTCTCAGTCTTTTTTTTGTGTGCTGTTTTCGTTCGATGGAAAAAGTTTTCCCACTTCTGTAATAAATTTTTTTTCTCTCTCCACAACGCGTTTCCTCCAATTTGAGGGAATAAATGATGAAAATTTATTTTTTTTGCTCTCCGCAGCACACAAAATGAGAAGAAAAAAATGCTGAGAATATTTTTTTTTTCATCTTAAGTCACCTTTATTCTGCTTTCTTTTGTGTATAGCCTGTGCGTTCGTATATCATTTTGTGTGTTTATACAGAGAAACTTGAAGTTCTAGTTCATTAGAACAAACAATAGAGAGAGACAATATGTGTATTTGTATTGATGGACGGGTCATGTGTATTATTTTCTCATTCAATAAAATAAATATTGAATTAATTTTACATTCATTATTTCACAAATTAATAAATTAATTTACAATTTTTCGAAATCTCATTACCAAAAAATATGAAAATTTTCGCTCGATGAGGTAAATAAATACAAACAATAGGAAGAAGGAAGTTAGCTTAGAAATATTTGTGGATCGATTTCATTAGCACATTTTTAACTGATGGAATTTTTTTCTGGTATTTTGTTAATTTCTTACTCAAATATTCGTGATATTTTAATTGCTACAGTGGTAGAGATAACAGGTGGTACACACATGATTTTGTGGTTTACTAATAGTCTATAAGAAATCGTAGAGCTACGCAGCAATGTAAATGTGCTATGAATTAGGAACAAGCAGATAGCACTAAGCAACATGGTCAGATTTTGTACAAACTTTAAATATTGAGTTCTAATAGCGACTTGAACTCGTAATTTAATGATTTACTATCACATGCTGAGCTATCCCAGAGTTGCACGACCAAATTTAATACCCAAATGGCACAAGTCTGTTAATCAAATGAAAACCAGGCGTCAAGTCGAAATGACTCTGCCATGGTGATTTGATTTAAATCCAGCACCATGCCAGAGAATCGCTCTTCGTCGAATCGCAATCGATCGAATTGCACTTCTGATCGAATAACCGACTCGTGCCAATCGGGATACACAAGAAGCAATCCTATGATTTACATATCAGCGTACAACCTGTATTTATCCGATTTTGTAGAAGAAAAGAGATCACGTGGAAGGCCCAAGAACTCATGGGAAGAGGCTGTTGATAGAGTGCTGCATTTAAAATCAGCAATTGACTGACGGTAGCCAGCGATAGAACTAGTTATAGGGGACGAATAAGGGAGGTCATGGATCTGTACGACCACCGAAGTAGGTAAGTAAGTAAAGGTTATTTATTAAGGATCCAGATTCCAGCACAAAGTTATAGATTTCACTTAATCAAGTTATAACTATATGCTATGAGTTCATAAATGTGTCGATTAAGATTTGTACTCAAAAACTTAATATCACAATAAACACTGAATAATTTGTAAGCATTCCTTAACTGTCCTTGTTAACGAATATTCCTTAACTGTCCGTCCTAACAAGCATTCCTATATTTATATTCATATCAAGTTCACATGAATTCATGACAAAGTATCAGAACTTAAATCCACATATCACAATGACTGACAAAAAATGATGATCGAAAATTCACGAATAATTGTGGGGTTTAAAAATTTAATCGATTGTCAATGAAGAAGGTAGAACAGAGAATCCAATGAAACTATTAATTATATTTCACGACAAGTGACTCAACCATTTTTGAATATTATAAAATTTTCATGTTCACATGGCTATAATAGGCGATATCAAGGACCAAGAGAGCATTTGTGCTTTAAAATAAACCCAGCAACGGTCGAAAAAAAAATTGAGAGAAATTCCGGTGCCTGTAAAGCTTTACTCACGAACATAAAATTCAATTCGAGCTAACAATTAAAATCACTAGACCTTTTCTTGCAAGATCAGTCCCTGTGATAAACAGAAGAATATCCGTACGATGGAAATAATCACTTCTCGTTCCATTCAAAATGCGCTAAAATAATTTTTTTAAGGGTGAGTGTGCGGCAGAAAGAGAGAGAGAGAGATGGAGATACACCAAAAAAAAACTTTTTTTTAGGTATGAATAATGTAAAAATAAGCTTTAAGCTTATCTAAATTATATCATCACCATTAATTAACATAAAATTTCTTCATACATCACAAAATTTTATGGTCCTGTCTGTGAATGAATTTTGATGAGCTTTAAGAACTTCTTTTTCTTCCTTTCACAAAAAACAACAAAAAACAAAAAAAAACTTTTTTTCTTCCCTTTTTTCTTAATAAGTTTTCCAAAAAGGAAAGAAGATAGGAAATGAATGGAAAGAACACATGCAAATGCTGCTACATTTAAATAAAAGAAATTTTCATTCTTCTTCTTCTGCCCTTTTTTTTGTTTGTTTTTTTTACACAATTTTCATTTCCATACACTTGACTGTAATAATCATGAAATATTCACAAACACTTAGTATGTTCCTTTCTTTCGTCTCCGCGCGAATATAAAAAAATTCTTAATTTTTTTGTACATTTAATAAATTTTTTATTATTATGATTTTGTGCCTTAATTTGAGATTAGAAAAGAATTCCATAAAATATAAAATATACAACATCTAACGAATGCGAAATAAAATCAAAGTGTATTTGACGAACTTTTCTATTTTACTGAAAAGCATAGCTTTTTTTCCGTCTGTTTTGCACATGAATCTGAGCTGATTCTCGGCTCGCAAGAGCGGGAGAGAAAAAAACAAATTTTACACTCAATTTTATTCAAGTCGCTCGCGAGAGGTGAGAGAGATCTGCGCAGATGGGGTACGTTTCAACATGATGGGTATCCAAAAATAATTTTTAAATGTTGCCGACTTTTTCATTTCCTCTCGTCAACACGTACATCCACGTGAAGTTCAAAGTTCAATGCGATTTCCTTCCCATTCATTCTCAAAATTTTTTTTATTTTTTTTACGATTTCTCTCTTTTTTAATGCGATAAAATAAAATAAAAAGGAAAATGAAACGAAACATTATCTTATCAAAATTTATTTCTATTTTACTCTCATTCTGTGTGTCTTTTGCTCTCTCCCTCCTTCAATTTTCCGTTTATCATGGCACTTAAACACACATATATGATACGATATCTATGTTTATGTATAGCTACATCCTTGTATTATTCTTCTTTATTCTTTGCTTATATTCTTCTTGTTATTATTCTTATTCTTACATCCCAATTCTTATTTTTAGCGCATTTCTCTTAGCTGCGATAAAGAATTGTCCTTGTTGGAAGTAGGCAGCATTTTTTTAACGTGCAACAATAAAAGAAATTCAAGTAATTTTATTACTTTTTGGGATAGCCTTTGAGATTTATTGCATGAGGGGCAATGAAGGACTTTTGCAAGTCACAATTGCAGATGGTCCTTAAACTTGAATGGCTAATTTAAAATTATTATAACATCTATCAATTTTCTTCAGCGTCCATGTCTATAGAACTTCCATGCAAATTTAATGCAAATCATTCAAATTCACTTAAAATAATTGTTTCTCAAGACCATAACCGACTTCCTCTGCACCACTTATAGCAAATATTCATAATCTATAATGATTCAGTTCCATTATCAAGGTTACTGGTATTCATACAATGTACATAATGATAAGGGTCATTGTGTGTGACATGAACTACAACATTACATAGTATGGAACTTTTATTGTCAATAAGGATATGTTCTGCTTGTTGTTTGACTCAATTTTTAATTTATTTTACTCATCCAGTCATGTTGAATTTAAGATTTCTGTTCTAGTTTATTAAGTCTGCCTACAAAATACATAATTCATTGGAATCAATGAAGGAAATTTCATAGAATAATTAAGGGTTAAAGGTTCACCGTTAAAGTATTCGTGCAGAAACCTTTACGACTAGACACACCAGCCCAACGTTACGATAAAAAGGTTAAGAATTGGAAACGGCAAATTATTTCAATTACAGCCCCAGAATTTACTCATTCCAATCTTCAACATTGAAGCTCACAAATGTGAGAGCTTTAAGCTATAAAATCGGATTAAGTTAAGTTCATTTTAATGCCTTTTCTGTGCAAATTTGGAGGATTTAGATTCCCTCATCCGCGAATGGCTTAACAGGATTAAGTGATGCTATTAAGTTTCAATCTAGACAGCACAAAAATTTACAGCTTCATTGCCTTTCACGCTTGATATTTTCAAGCTTCAATACTAATATTAACCCATATCCAAAGTTAAAACTGCGTCAATATAATCCAGAAGTAATAAAAACTTTGGAACTCAAATTGTGGGCTATAAAAACTCACACATGTACGCACACACGTTCGTGTCTATCTATCTTATTTTCACTTTTTCTTCTTTTAGAATGAGGGAAATTTTCTGATGCCAAATGTCGTGGGGATTATTGCATGCGTTGCGCCGTTTACGATACAAATTGCCTTTGATATAAAGCTTCAATAGCTTTGAGGCATACACAAAGCTTTTGTGGTTGACTCTTAAGTTAACACCACATCCATTGTACTTTTTTTTGCTCTCGCAGGCTATGGCGTTCGGTGAGTTTTATTAAGTGACAAGCTTTATATGACGCTTTTGTGTAACATGCTTTCATTTCAATTTTCATCTTAATTAATTTATGATACAAAAAAAAAATTAATGACTTTGTGGACTTACTCATTGTGTATCCAAAATCGCTTTCTTTCTCGGGATCCGCGGCTACTTCCTCTTTCGAACGTTTCACATTTCCTGCACTAGCTCGGTCGATCTACGGATTGAGAAATAAAAAACATAGATTTGTTTTCTTCTATTACTTCATGTCTACAATTAAACTCATGTCATGTACAACGAACTACTACACTAAGGATACACATGTAAAGTAGATGGAATTAACAAGACATAAAATAATGTAAAATCAAGAATTTATTTTCATGTACCTCGTTTCCTGCTTCCGAATATGTTTTGCCTTCCATCTCACGATTATCTTCATCTTCATCCGATGACCCTTCAGATTCTAATGGGACGGGTGTGTTTTTGTTGTTGTTATTAAAATTATTCTTTTTTTAAAACTCAACATTCATTAAAATTAACAATTAAGGATGAAATATAATGAATATGGGATAAGACATTTGCGGATCTTAAGGATGACATTGAGTGGCATGCTTAACAAGTTGGTTAGACAATTTTTGGAGATTTTAAAACTTCAGAATGTATTTTAACATTTTATTCTCTGATTTAGGTCATTTTGGATATTTTGTAACGCTAATGGGAAATGTGACACAACACAGAACATGCAAACAGTAACTTTTAAGCTTTACAGAATACCAAAACGTTCCTGAATAACTGTTGGATCTAGTTATTAATTAAAACCATACCAGAAATCCCAATTATCAAAATTTTGCCACATTTAACATGTCACGAAACCACAAAACAAGTTCAAATTTAACGAGTCATCCTGAATTCTTATTACATGTCAACCTGCCAACCGCAAGCTCCCAATAATCATTAAAATTTCAAATGTCTATAAAAAATCATGCATATGACATCATTCAACAAACCTGTGTCAGGAACTGGAGTAAAACCTGAACTTCTATTTACCACAACCATTAAATGCTCCCCATCATCAATCTCCGGGCTCTTAATATTAATTATTCCCATAAACATAGATAACATAAAAATAGGTTTATTGTAAGTAACATAACACATTAAAGGGCGGTTCCATATAAAAATAGAGTTTATTTATATTTATGTTGTATGTTGTATGTTGTTTGAGGCATGCATATAAGTAAAAGATTAATACAAATAGATCCGGAATGAAACATCAAGCTATCATCAATCATGCAAAAACTAAGATGAATCTTTGGCTATCTTTGCTATTTTTGATTGACGAATTTAAGTTGAATTAGAGATGTTTTGTGAGATTTACTGAAAACTAGAAAATCGCACCAAAAACAAGAATACGTTGATATTTTCATACCATTTAAAGCAAGGCTCCCGACTCCAGCTGTTTTAAAAACGAAGATTATAATCTTTGTATGAAATATTATCAAAAATTATAATCTTGTTTGGGATTATTTAAAGATTGTAAGAGGCTCTGCGGGAGCCTTGATTTAAAGTTTTAAAGCAAACAACCTGTTTTTAATGAAAACTTTTAATGAAAAGTGGGGTTATTAACAAATGATGTCCATAATTTAGAACGTGACGCAATGCTTTGTGTCACCTTAAACAAAAGAATTTTTAAAAAAAATCAATTTTTTTGAGAGACGACATTAATGAATGACCACAAAGGGCTGGATTTAATTCACATTTTCACATGACAATCAACAGCTATATTAGTAATGAAATGTTTATTCTAGATAATCAAGAAATAATTTATATGTTTAAGGCTGAATTCGTATTTGTTTAAACTTAGTTGATTTGTTGAGCTTTTCAAGTTAAAAAGCAATTGTGAACAGAGTAAATCACACTCATGAAGTCAATTTTTGTGATTCTTTTATTGTTTGTTGCGCCAATTTTTGGGAATAAAACAGTTCGAATAACGAAATTCTCCAGCACAGCTTTAGAAATTGTGGAAAATTCAAGTCAAAAATGGAATTATTTATGCAAGACTTTAACTAACATTATTTTGAATACAAATTTACCTAGAAATGACAACGTTGAAGTCGCAATATTAACAATTGGAGATGAATCAACAAGATTAAACTATGATGGATTTTATAAAGCTTTTCAAAGCTATGGATCGAGCAAAATTGCAGTTGAGATTTTTAAACTTGGATCGGATGTTAAAAATTATGTCTTTAAGGACTTCGTCATCTTCTTATTGGACGAAGTCCTTTATGTATCTTTAAATTTCATTAAGTCTTATTTCCACAAGATCCTCCTAGATCGGTCAGCTAAAATAATTTGCATCCTTAATTTCAAAACTTCATCGCGTAATTTGAAATCCTTTTGGAGTGATCTTACAGGAGTTCAATATTACAATGTTTACATTATAAAGCACCAAGATTCAGGCGATTTTCAGATTTTTCGTACAAAAATTATCAGATCGAACAATGTCAAATTGCAAATATTTCTTGGCAAATCCTCAGATGATAAGTTTTTAACAATGAGTGAGATCGTCCCAGAAAACCTACTTCCAAGCATCCGAGTTCTATTTTATAATTCATATCCAATGTCCTACGTTGATAATGGCATAATTAAAGGCACAGAAGGAAATCTAATTCAAGAATTTAGTCATAAAATTGGAACTCCTTATCAGATAGTCAACAAGAACATATCATATCCATCATTAAATGAAATCAAGAATATAATTGAAAGTTATGGTGATATCAGCTTATATGCTTACATTAATGTAATGGCAGGAAACATAAAAACAATTTATCTTAATGAAATGCATGGGCTTTGTTTATTGGCACCACGAAATATTCCTGTATCTGCATATGAAAACTTTAAATTCCCTTTGGATACTCAAACAATAGTTATCGCACTCGTATCAGCATTATCAGTCATTATAACCTGGAGAATGCTTACAAGGAGTATGTCGATAACATCAATAATATTTGCTGTTGGTAAAATGATCTTAAATATTGGCACATCAGGCATCGAACGATTGACATTCAGAGAAAATATTTTGATTTACTGCTTCATGTTCAGCTCATTTATTATGGCTACATTTTATGAGTCCATTTTTATGTCTTTTATGCTTGCAAAATCATCAATGCGATCAGCGTACAACTTAGAGGAACTAAATAGCAGCAATACAAAGTTCTATTCATTTTATGGTCCGGAAATTTCTCAAATCAATAATATGAAAAGCATTCGTCCTGGTTTAGTAATGAATTATGTTAAGTTCAACCAACACTTGTCTCTTGACGTTCCTGAGGAATTCGATGAGAATTTAGTGTACATGATTTACTGTGATTATGGAGACTTCTTCATAGAATCACCAAGAAATTATCGCAATGGTCATCGATTGTTTAACAAGATCATTTTAAATCAATATTTTAAGACTTACAACATACGAAGAGGATACTTCTATGTCCAAGAATTCGAGAAATTAGTTCACTATCTCACAGAGGCAGGTATCTATAAATTTTGGAAGATGCAGGACAGTCATAAAACAATAAGGAATAGTGTATCAAGGGACTTTTCGACTATCAATGCTGAAGATATGGGCCTGCCAATTTATACTTTATTTTTCGGATGTGTTGTAGCTTTAAGTGTGCTACTGTTTGAAATGGTCACCAATCGGTTTAGCTACTTGTTAAAAATACGAATGAGATCTATTACAAATCATAAGCTGTTAAATAATGTTCAAAGGAAGAAATTACGACTCAGGAAATGGTCCCGAGAATATTTATTAAAACAAAAATTCAGCACTAAGTTAATAATGCAATCAACTGTCAAGACTTTAAGACATCAATCTAGTTCAAATTGCGTATTGCATCGCCCATTATCATTAAAACTTGATAAAAACTACATTAAAAGCCGAGAATCAATTGTTGGAAGCTATTTTGCTCTCAAGAAGTTTTATAGAAACTACCGTAGAGAATTTAAAGTAGAACATGGTATAATTCAAGTCAAGCTATGTTCTGGACCTTCAACAGGTCAAGTATTGATGGATAATTCGACTATATAAAGAAGCTGTTGAATGGTGTTTAAAATAGAAGAACTGGAGTTTGAAAAGCCGAGTGGGACACTAAGGAGTTACTGACAAGACAAAAGGTCGAACAATGACACATTTGAACGAATAATGACACACGGAATTGAAGTGTTTTAGACGCTGTTCTATTAAAACACTTGCTTAAACTACTAAAATTCACTATTTATTGAAGCGATATTTTTCTAAAACGATGGCGCGAACTGAGAAGAGCGCGAAGATTCCAAAATATAGAACAGCAAAAATTCTATATAAGTTTTACTGTTGTAAGTGACGTTACAACAGGAATGACATTAGTAGAACCTACATCTAGTTATTAACTAGTCATCTCCTTTTAGAAACTAAATCTAGTCGACTTCAATTGGCTTTCAAGTTTTGCAAAATAGTTTGCCATTTTCAAGAATAATAAATAAACCTCTAGTAGCATGGGTTATGATTAGTAGCTTGATTATAATAACACAGTTTATGTTCTAATCTATTAACTGCACATTCGGAATATTCATTTTTATGATTTGAAAATAAAATGTTATACTAGAATTGATAATAAATGTAAATGCGTGCTCGCACATAAATATTATGACTGATTTTTAGAAAAGAAGCAAGAATTTCCTTCCAAAATAATTTCATCAAAGGTCCTTTAACCTCGTCATTCAATTTTCCCATCTTTTATTTGATCATCTTTCATCATACCAAATTCAATTCGTCAATCATCCGCAAAGAAAGCAAAAGAAAAGATTGGTAATAGTAAATATAGAAATACTTTACCGTTAAACCATTTGATGCGCTCTTTTTCGGTTCTTTTATTAATGGCTGCATCGGCTTTAGATCATCCTTCATCTCCTCTTTTAAGTCTTCTTTTACTACACCCTCCTGATGATTTTTATTGTTGTTATTATCATGGTCGGATTTTTTTTTTTTGAATCCATAAAATAAGATGTTGATAATGGTAAGATTGGGTTAGATATGATGATGAATTAGAGGATACAAAATAGGAGACAAGTGAAGTGAGCGATGGAAAGAGAAAATAAAGAGTAAAGAAAAATGAGTGATGATTAAATTATGGCAATATTGTGTGGTTCCAAAATGAAAATATTTTCCACATTTTAAACGTGAAAAAAAAATTCACGTTTTCACGTTAAACGTGACATAAATAATGTGTTGTTCTGTTTTGGTTTTGCCTCAATTTTTAAACTTTTTTTATGAGGCTCTTCATGTCTCATGAAAGAAGGAAGTGAGATAAATAGACATCAAGTCTCAGATCATTTACTATATTTGCTTATTGTTATTATTCTCGTGTGTCTAGTCCTCGAGATGTTTACTTATTACTTCATATGGTAATGTTAATATTTTATGGATGATGCTTGCTTCAAGCTGCATTTCGGATGTTTCTGTTTTTTGATGTTTTCATTTATTTATTTAGCTTTTGAGATTTGGTGGAAAAAATTGATGAAATTCGAGATTTTATAGTTTTTGTGTTGCTGCTGATGGCTAAAGCCTTCAAAAGCCTTAACGACACTTCCTGATTTAAAGTCGACGAACTGTAAACTTTTAATGGCAATTTTCTTCTAGGAATTTTTCCCTTTAGCTCATCATCCCTTGGAAACACTTTTTAGACATCTCAAACAACCTTTTTTATCCTTCGCGAAGCTATTTTACTTTTTAAACTTTCTTATTAAAATTATTGTTATTTTTTCTGCTCTTAATCCTCCTCTTCTTCTCGTTTACCTATACCACATTTTCATTATTTATGCACGATGAGCCTTCTGTATCACTTGTTGTCTGTTGTTATACAAAACAGACACATTTACCCTCGTTTGCACTTATCTCTCTGACATTTCTTACCTGTATTATTTCAGGAATTGGTGTTTTTGCTGGTGTCAATGGCGGTGGTATTTTCTTTATGAAATCAATAGGACTCTCGTCCGCATTCTAGTAAATGAATAATTAAACAAGAAAACAGAAATGAAAATTATATAAAAGAACTTAATTAAAAAAATTTTTTATATTCGCTTAGACATTAAATGATAATTTAAAGAAATAAAAAGGAGGTGGAAAGTAGAAAGCATGTCTCAATTCTTTTCATAAAAAAATCATTTCAATGGAACAAAAAAAAATCTAATTAAGTATACATACCCCAGTATTTAGACTTTGAACACGAAGTGTCATTTTATCGCCGGCATTTTTTATCGTTTTAACAGCCACTTCGTGACTTGAGTGTCGAATATCTATACCGTCGACGGCTGATTTGAATAATTTCGTTAGTTTTATGGTCAATATTGTTTACCTTAATTAAATTTTAAGTGAAAAATGCAAATTTTGTCAGATTTTTTTCTGGGTTTTTTGGCATGAGTTGAAATGTTGGTAGATTGATTAAAATAAGGGATTGTTCAAGCGTGTTTCGGAAGATATGATATTGAACAATCAGAGCTCCAAGTCGACTCTAGATTTTCATTGATTTTGTGTGGCGGAGTCAAAATATGACGAATATTTTCAGCTTTAAAACTTTTTCGCGAGACTTTATTGTTCAACTTTCAACAAAAAAAATATTTAAAGTCGAAATAAGATTAAAAACATCGATACTGGGGGTCCTCGATTTGAGTAGGTGTTTTGTTCCAGAAAAATCCTATTCAAATCAAATCTACTCAAATCGAATTATTTACTTTTTGTCTGAAAAATGTCCGTTACAAAATTTTTTTTTAAATCTTCTATTCATTAATTTTCGTTACTTAAATCGAATCTACTCAAATCGAGGACCCATAGTACTATGAAGGACGCTATACGTATATATACGTGACTTCGTAGAAGTATTATTGAATGAATTGATCAAATCATTACAATTCATTAAATCAAACAAAAAATAAAACAAAATTCAGCATTGTCTAGTCAATGTCAATCATTTGATAAAAATCAACTTAAATTGACATATTTTTCAAGATTCTATTCACTCGACTGTCCAAAAATGCCAAAAAAAAAATCTAAATTGCATTTAAAACTGTTCATTTAATCAGCTTCCGTCTCCACTTCCCTCAAATCTGTGCATTGGCATGAATAATACCGAAAACTTTATAGCGTATGGTTTTTGTTTCACATTCAAGTCTCAAGCTGATTGGATTATTTCACGTTTCAGTGATCCTTTGAATTATTGTCAACTTAACGAGAATTTTACAAAAAATCTGACAGAAATCGCATCAAAAAAAATATATATGCATGAATTATTGCTCACCTAAAATCCTATCACCAACTTTCAATAAGCCACATAAGTCTGCCGAGCTTCCCGCAATGATATTTTTGATGAAAATTCCGGATACCAATGCATCGCCTGACACATTAACCTATCAAATATCCGCAACAATAAATAAATAAATGTTGTTGTCGAAAATCCATTCAGGCTTAACAGTTTTAAATCACATGGCAATAATTTATTTTTCCTTCACTCAAAAAAAACACACAAGCACAACTCTTTCATGTTCTTTAATAAATTTCCTGTTTCACCTCCATTGGGAGCAATAAAAGCCATTTGTATGTATCCGCATATTATGTTTGTTGACTTATTATTAATTAAATAAACATTGGGAATTTCATACGACATACACACAATCCGCACATGTACAATAATAAATGAAGATTAACTTTTCTCTTAGTCAACACGTTATATATCATTTGTGTAGCGTTAGAAATCTTACAGATGTTGACATGGAAGTACGAAAATTCAAGGTTGAATTGATGCTTTAATTGGATTTTGGTTGTAAATTTAGGAGTTGTATAAAGTTCCTCAAATTTTTAATTCATGAGCATTGCACAAATCCTTCTCATATCCACAGCGCTATATATAATGAATGAAAGCTTGGTCTCTGGTGGGATTCGAACCCACGTCCTCACAATAGAGGGTAAAGAGATATCTGGTCTGTTGTCAAACCACTCACGCCATACAGCCTAAACTTTCTGGCAGATTCACTTATATATGGCTCGATATGCTAGATCAGTGATGGCTAACCCATGTGTGGCGGTGCACTAGTGTGCCACGTAAAAATAGGGAAAATCACATGCCGTGTGTGGTTTCTATCTCACCATCAAGGTGGGCACAAGAAAGGCTGACAACCACTGCCCTAGATTCTATTCCAACAACAGCAAGTAAGACAAAATAAAAATTCCCAAAACAAAATGTTCTCATAACTCAATTTTCAACAATTCATGCTATAAACTCCTTCTTATTCTCATTAAAGTTTTAAGGTATTTATCAAAAGACATTTTACGATGTGCACGTATGTTATGTGGAATAAAATTACCAGAAATAAAGGTTTAGACAATTTAAAAGCATATGCTGTCATAAAACAGGAAACATGGGATGGAAGGTAAATGTAATTAGCATAATTTTACACTTTCTTTTTGGACTAATGTGGAGAATAACTTAATTATGTAAAGGATAATTAAGACTTTATTGTTGGGTGCAATGAAGCAAATTTCCTTATTTCATATTTGTGTTGTTTTTGGGGTTTAATATGCTGAATATTTTTAAGGTTTCTAAATTTTGTGAAAAAAAAACCTTTAAGAACCTTAAATTTTTCAATTAATTTTCTTGATTAAATATTCACTTACTCCAATCAAAAATGTAAATGAATTCAGTATCTTGTGGTCAGCATGTTTAAATCTCACCATTCAGCATAGTAAAACTTCCAAAATGATTTTATCTACCTACTCAAAATTTTATATGTTATTCATTCGACATGAGAACACATTTATCATAAAATAAATTCATTCATATGTACCAATAAAATTAATTAATTAATTTAATGGATGTGGTTTTTAGAATACAGAACATTATCGATGTGTAATGGAATTTGGTTTTCATGTGCTATCAATTTTTAAATGTTCAATGAAAATTCAAATGCAAATTTTAGAAGTTTGTGAAAAAAATATAATTATTATTGTAGGTAGGATGACTATAGCTTTGATTTTCCTGGCACCTTAACCTTCTCGAAGCCTTCTCTTTGAGATACCAGAATTTTTTGAAACTGACACTCAACCCTCCCTCTTGTCTGCACCCCTGATACGGTAGTGGGTCACCGACACAACGGGAACCCGCGGGTCAAAACCCACGGGAACTCACGGGTCCTCACGAGTTGAAAACCCACGGCTCTTGCGGGTCCCCGTGGGTTCTTGTGGGTTTTGACCCGCGGGTTTTTAAAAAAAAAATTTCAAAAAACTTTGTGAGTTTTCCCGTGGGTTTGGTCTGCGGGTTCCCGTGGGTTTTCAAATATAAACTCACGGTTTTTCTGCGAGGACCCACGAGTTTTCTGTGAAAACTCACGGTTTCTCTTAAAGAAACCCACGGGTTTCTATCGTATATTTTTGAACAGTAAAAACTTTGAATAATAACAGGTTTTCAAATACCAGAGTGCAGTTTGCAGAACAAAAATTAGGCACTTTTATAAATCAGTATTTTTTTATCTTCAGCTTAAGGCATAATGATATCGTAAAACAGCAAAGGCATGAAATGTACCTTTTAGACTGTAAGTCTAATTTTTCTGTAACTTATGGCATCATTATATTCTGTAACTTTTGTTGCTCTCATTGAATCTTCTTGAAACTTTTACTTAAAGTTTTTATGGCGTTAAAATGGCACATTATTATCTTAATTAATATTTACAATTAAAGGATCTCCTTAATTTAGGAAACAATTGAATTTTATTTTTTGCCAATACGAAAAATTTGATTTTGAAAATCAACAACTTTTGAACCTCAGATAATTTCTATTTGCGTTCATTTCAGAACTTGTTAATGCCTGATACGCACAATTTAAGAGTTTCGACCGCTACAGTTTCCAAGAAAACTTGTGAAAATGGCTTATTTGTCTGTTAAATTAAGCAAGTTCATTTGATAATAAGCATAACAAAGTTAAACTATCAAATTTTATTAAAATGATTAAAAATTGTAACGGTTTTTTCAAATTTAAATTTTTCAAACGTGCATATTATAACACCCTACACGATAAGTCTGTAGAACATGAATTGTTTGCATCAGGTTAATTATTAGCTTGTTAAGAATCGTTGAAGCTACAAGCAAATGCAATAATATGAATAAGTCTAGAGTAATTTAAAAAATTTTTTTACTGTACCTAATGCTTAATATTTTTTTAAAACACAACGAATATGTTTTGATAAAGGCAAAATTTTAGAGCTGCTTGCTTATTGATTCGCATTTTGATGCTTATCAAATACTGATTACTGCGCCAAATATGTGCTGAAGTCCCTCGATAAATAACAATAGGACTTTTGTAATTTTTTTCAAGTTTTCTCTAAATCTTTAAGAGCTACAGCAAAGAATTTTGCATCAAAAAAAGCTGAACTAAAATACTATCAATTTTATTAAACGTTTAAATCTGATTTTAGCTTGTTATTCGAAATTTTTAAAATATGAAATTTTCTTGGAGTCTTTCAATCATTGGTACGGAAATTCAACAAGCAAACCTTCGAAAAATTTGAAACTTTCGCATAATGATGCCATAAGTTACAGAAAAATTAGACTTACAGTCTAAAAGGTACATTTCATGCCTTTGCTGTTTTACGATATCATTATGCCTTAAGCTGAAGATAAAAAAATACTGATTTATAAAAGTGCCTAATTTTTGTTCTGCAAACTGCACTCTGGTATTTGAAAACCTGTTATTATTCAAAGTTTTTACTGTTCAAAAATATACGATAGAAACCCGTGGGTTTCTTTAAGAGAAACCGTGAGTTTTCACAGAAAACTCGTGGGTCCTCGCAGAAAAACCGTGAGTTTATATTTGAAAACCCACGGGAACCCGCAGACCAAACCCACGGGAAAACTCACAAAGTTTTTTGAAATTTTTTTTTTAAAAACCCGCGGGTCAAAACCCACAAGAACCCACGGGGACCCGCAAGAGCCGTGGGTTTTCAACTCGTGAGGACCCGTGAGTTCCCGTGGGTTTTGACCCGCGGGTTCCCGTTGTGTCGGTGACCTAGAACCATTAATGCATAAAGATTGAAACAAATCTGCATTATTCATGTAATCTATAACAAGCTGTAACATCTCCATTATTACCATAAACTCCCCTAATCCCCCAATCAGACAATATTAAGCTGTGTCAGCAATAAAAAATTCAATTCAAATTTTTCGTACCATGAAAAAAAAAATTTATATAAAATTCACACTGGACACGTGCCAGCAATAATAAAATTTTGCTCTGTATCACAAAATGGTCAACGAAGGTAAGAAGATGAAATTATTTATTTAATATCTCCATGATGATCGTCATTATCTTTATTCAAAATCTCTCTATCTTGCTCCTCATTCATATTTATTTTTATCATTGTCACGCATGAACATCTATTTGCACTTGCTGTACATACATTATTTATCATACAGCAATCGGAAATGTGGAAATTATGTAAACATTTTCACATCCGAATATGTCTCATTGTTAAAAATGAGTTTATTATCGACTTAAATTCTAGCTTATCTGCATTATCACAATATGTGTTTACAGATAAAACTATTCAAGAGTCTGCTTTTCCTTACTGTTACTTGCATCCATTAGATTTCATGTAATTTCATGCTTCATGTATTAATTGCTTAAAATATGTTTGAAGAACTTAATTTAACATGTTACTAAATGCTCTTGGAAAAGTTTACTCAGGTTTATGCTGAATAGATGGAAATGCAGCCAAGGATGAATTGATTTTGAATCATATGCTGAATTTCAACTTGATTTGAATTGATTTTTGATGATTCTAATTTAAAGAAGCTTATTTATATTGTGGGTAAGCGTTTAAGATGTTTAAAATTGTTTAGCTGTAGACATGGAACTGCCAAAACCGAGAGAAAAATTAAGGAAGGTTCAGACAACAACTCGTATGGAAATTTTTTTATGGAAAAATTGAAATCTCATTTTAAGACAAAATTATGGCATCACTCGAATAGCTTAAACCTATTGGTCCACAAGAGTCCAAATTTGATCAGGCATGATGAATTGTCACCCGAATGGCACAAGTCGTTTAATCAATCAGAAATCTGGCACTAGGCAAGCGTAACTCTGGCATGGTGGTAGATTTAAATCAAATCCAGAACCATGACAGAACCATGACAGAGCCATGTCAGCTTAGTGCTGAATTTTAATCGATTAACCTATTTTTGCTATTCGGATCAGTTGATCAATTCCTCACCCTTTCCTAAGAACCATCAAAAAAGTTTAATAATAAATTTAATCATCCTCTTAAAGCAGAAGCTCATTTTCTTACAAAATACTCCTTTTATTCTTTCTAAAGTAATTACCAAAGTACACACTTCTATCGTTAATTAAATTAAAGGAGTCGTCAGCTTTAATTTATTTAATAATGGAATATTAACGACGCATTGAATGGCTTTTTATGTGGAATTTCTAAAAAAATTTATGTTATTAATTTTATTTTATGTCACGAGCGACACGAAACCCTTGAATTATTTTGTTTTACGATGTCCTTGAAATAATTTTTTTTTACAACAGATGTGGAAGTTTGTGGAAAATTTTACCTGACTTTTTCTTATAATCTGTACAAAATACTTCTCTTTGAAAGAAAAGTTGCTGATTGTTTTTTATTTTAGAGATGTCTGTGTTCTGCTTTGTATGTTGAGGAATCACTTATGACGTCCATTAAAAATGACGACCCCCCTCCCTCCCTCTGTCACAAAATTTTCATACAAAATAAAATCTTTTGTATTAAGGTGTCACACAGCTTCAGAACCCCCCCCCCCCCCCCCCCTAAATGTTGGACGTCATAAGTGAACGACCCCTTAATGAAAGCTTGAAAAGTGCTTCATTTTAATTTAAAAGGATTATATGATTTTGTGCATGTGCTGCTGAATATTTGATTTTAATTGCTTTTAATCCTGATTTGACAACTCTTTAATTTTGAAAAACTAACTTGGAATGCTATGAAAAGCGAATGCTATGGAAAGCTTAGTGTTGCTATTTTAACTCCTTACTATCTGTTTTTGTAGCTAAAATTAATTTCGAAATTTCAAAGAAAAAAATTAAATTTAAGCAAAAGTCAGTCTTAAAATAGGAGGAAGCTGATCTTCTTCAAATGAGATTTTATGCTCCTTAAAGTTAGATTTTTCAAGATTCCAGCGTAACAGACAAGATTTTGCTAACCCATAAGTGTGAAGGATCTGAAGCTCTCACAAAACAATAGATCATATCCAATCGACTACTCCCCACAACATGTAAACATAATAATTTGCCACAGTCTATTTAAAACTACTTCATAAGCTATCAAACGATCCATAATGAAAACATTCGTGCACTACACCTTATCAACTATATAAAAGTCCCATTTCTGTTCAAGATTTTCAAGTTAAAGAAGGTCAACAATCATAAACTTAATAATCCTAGACCCAAAAAATGTCAATTCGGAGTTTTTCCAGTCACATCATGTGTATATCCTATCGAGAAAAAAAAAGTCAAGTCAAATCATTTCAATCATTATAAAGTAATTTTTGGATCAAAAAGAAAAAGAACATACGAATGCACACATAAACGTGACCGAAATTGAAATTAACATGACCCGAATCGGAAAAGTAGGAAAATAAGGTAAAAACTATTTAAATATTCAATGTCAAACCAAAATTGAATGTTTTCCACACAAAAGATTCTCACTGAAAAGAAAATTTGCATGAATTGTCTTTTAATTAACTTTTTTTTCATTGTGTTCCTGTTTCAAAAGGTCTGCAATTTGTATAGATTAAAATTTAATTGTTATTTAGAGAAACTTTTTTTTTGTTCTGATACAGTCTCACATTCACCTACACATTTGGAAAGGTCAGTCCTTGAAAAAAGGAATTTAAAGGATTCTTTTCTGCAATGTTGCTAAGTCTTCTTGATGCTTGATTGCATTTAGAGAGTAAATTGAAATTGAAGGCATTGCGAACGTAGTTATGAAGTCAAATTGATGCTCTTTTGATCAATTACAGCTGGTACCTTAGTCAAGGGCGTGAACTTGATGCACCTAGCTTCTTCTAGGTTCATTATTATAAAATTCAACGTTACTTAAAACTTTCAAACTTCATCAATCTTTCCTCAAACTCAAACACAAAACGCATAACCTAAGATACACTTTAAACATTCGCTTCTCAATTCTCATTCAATTTTTGTACATTCCCAAATCATTCAGCAACATTAATCTCTTCAAATACACAATTTTTATTTTTCACTGACTCACCTTTCCGCCAACGATCGAGATACCAAAAGATTTATTTTGAACACGCTCCAGTACGACTTCTCGTTCCGAACTCCACGTAGTATCGTCTACGTCATCCATGTTTTAAATGTGTCAAATTAGTAAATGGAAGTGCAGAATAAGCAGAATAACATGAAATGGAAAAAAAATAATATTGAAAATCGTTATTGATTGATTTTTCGCATGAAAAACGTGATTTTATATTTTGTTCTTCCTAAAGGCACATTAAATAACTGTGTCTGCATGACTGAATGAGATGGATATATACAGCACATGTGTAGGCAAAAAAAAAATCATTTCAAATGCTTTATATTAGCAGTAGCACTAAATCAAATTAGCTCAACAAGTTAATGGAAATACAAAAACAAAGTTGCTCTATTGATGATTTAATGTGCCTTTTATCAGCACAATGACACTGTGATGAGTTTGATATATATACACGATTATTATTGGCACGAGTACTCACCTAGGTTATTATTGATTTTATTATCAGTCACCGTCACAGTCATTTTCCTATTAAAGAATAAATAAAGTTTATTTTTTTATGAAACTAATTTGAAGTGATTATTATTGTTATAAAGTTTGAGTGGCTGGATATCAATTGAATTGTTTGTTTGACCTTGCCGGTGAATTTTATAGATTTTTATTGTAGTTTTTATCGGTAACATAGTTGGAAAGAACCTAGCTATTCAGATAAATTGTGATCAGTAGCTGCTTTAGATTGTAAGTTTTGCAGTTGTGATAGGTAAAAAGAATTAATGGAAAGAGGTTGTTGATAGAGACAGTATTGCATTTGGCAATCGTTAGCCAGCGATAGAGTCAGTTTTATGCATGCTAAGGGATGCCATGAATCAGAACTGATCTGTAAGGTCATCGAAGTAAGTAAGTAAGTAAGATTGGTAAATTAATGAAGGTTTGTCAATCAAGCTTAGTCCTAAAACTTAAAGTGTGGTTATGAACTAGAACAGTGTTGTTCAAACTGTGTACCGTGGCACACTGATGTGCCGTAGGACATCTTTAGGAGTGCCGTGAAAAAATATCTAAATTCAAAGTGTACCGTGGCTGAAAAAAGTTTGGACAACACTGAACTAGAAGAATATGTTTTTATGTTTCAAATGCTGTCAGGAACTGGTAATTGTCCTGATTGCGCCTTCCTAATTGTATGTTATGCCTAGTCCTGTTTTGGACTAGATTGTGGTAGTAAAAATCTAAAACCTAGTTCATTTTCATGACTATAATAGCTCTGCTATTTTTAAAGTTCAAAATCGATTTAAATTAAATCCAATTATATGAAAGCTTCAACAATAAAATAACAACTATCACACCGACCTCATAATTTTCAATAATTAATCACTTTTCCGTTAAAATTTTCAACTTTTTGATCAAAAATTAATGAGTCAACTTTTAATATCTTAATTAAATATAGAGCACAGTTCGAGAACGTAAATGTGTCACAGCAAATACGCTTCAACCACAAAATTCAAATAATTAATAAACCACCTTTTTGAAACTATCGACCGCATATACACTATCAAATTTCACATCGATGGATTAATTAACTAATTAATGTCACACTGTGGTGTCTCAATATGGCAGGGAATGTTTAAAATTTTCATTAAAACTGAACTTTGTCACATGTCAAACGGAACATCTTTTAATTAAACTTCCCGAATTTTTCATCATCCTGTCTAAAACAAACTTATCAACTAAAAACTCAATTATAAAAAAACTCACAAAATTGATTGAAAAACTAATGTGAAAATAATTAAATAACTTGAATCGCTCCGCTTAAAGCGAACTCTTGCACTTTTTAACAAGACAATAAGTGAAATAAAATAGCAGCACAGAACACAAAAAATAATAATTGAAAAAAGTCGTCTATAGCTCCAAGGTAACTAATGGTCTAATTGATACGAAAAAAAAGTTTCGTATTCGATGTGAATCCATAGAAATTTTTCAATTTATGTACATTTATTTTATTTGTATTTATTTGCCACATTTTATCGACTAAAAAGGTATACATATGCTTAGGGACGAAAGAGTAAGTGAGAAAGAGAGTGTTGACAATAAAGGTATTGTGTATGTAATGCATGTACTTATGCTAATTTTCGTCTGTAAATGTGTCTTCTTGATATTTTTGTACCTTCTTCACACGAAATACTTTTAATTGAACATTGAATACGGTTAGTCATTAATGGCTTTATTTATGAATATTCATAAGAATTATTTTTTATCAACTGCAAGGTTGTAAAATGTCAGCAAAAATTCATTCGATTGATTAAAAACTGTGTGAATTAAAATTATATTGCAGTAATGGAAAAGCTCTGTTTTGGATTTATTATTTTTTTTAATGAGTGATATTAAAGTGATTTATGTGAATTTTTAATGAGTGTCAATATAATTATGTTTTATCGATTATATATCTACAAAGTTCAATATCAACTCGACTTCCGTTTGAAAGGATTCAATCTCATTAAAAGTGATTAATTTATGACGTCTAATAGTAATTGTCTAATTTTTGCAATACTAACACAGCGATCATGGGTTCGAGACTCGGCATGGGAAATTATTTACTTGTCCTTTTTCGAACCATATGCAGAGATCGAAGCCGATTTTTTCGGCTTAACTCAATTTTTGATTTTTTTGATAGAAAAAAGCCATTTGACACCCATTTCAAGGATTTAAATTGAACTTTACATGCTTTACTATGATTCTGTGTAATATTTTGTCAGCATGTAGCTATAGTGAGCTCAGAATTTCAATTTAGCCGATTTTAAGCCGATCGGCTTAAATTTCGGCTTAACATTCTTTAACTTGAAATTCTGAGCTTACTATAGCTACATGCTGACAAAATATTACACAGAATCATAGTAAAGCATGTAAAGTTCAATTTCAATACTTGAAAAATTGAGTTAAGCCGAAAAAATCGGCTTCGATCTCTGACCATATGTACTTGAAATGAAGCTCACAGCATTCATTTGTAAGCTACATGCAGCAGTGTCATCAACAGATTAGTTCAGTACCCACTATAAACTGAAGGTCTGAATTGAGTGCATCCTCACTCGTTAATCTTCCATTAGTTTCGAATCGCCATAGCATATATAATAGTTTACGAGGAAGGATAACAATTAGAAATCAGATGTGGTCTGAATTGCAGAGCTCGAAGTCGATGAAATTTTGTAAGGAGTTGATTCGACTCGGAGTCGACTCCGCCATATAAAATCGATAAATATATATTGAGTGGACTCCGATCTCTGCTAAAGTCTTTATAAAGTTATGTCAAGTTTTTGATTTTATCTCAGAATTCAAGAGCTTTTGGAGCCTAATTCCAATAATTGAAGAACCAAGGAAAGTCTCGGCAATAAATTCAATAAAAGGATGACTTATTCTCCACAAGAACAAATCCTCTTCTTTAATTACTAACCTTATAAAATCAAATCAGTTTCAACTCATAATATTCAATAAGTTTAAACTTAATAACTGTGCTGCAAGGCATTACGCAAAAATCATTAAAAGATTTTTTTTTAGAAAATAACTTTTATGGTTTTATGAAAATCAAACAATTCTCTTAAGGCTATAAAATTAATCTCCTTACTGCTAGAAATTATAGTCAATAAAATCGTGCAGAATCAAGACATAAAACCACTCAAATTGAACATTAAAGCACAATTCCATATGGAATTAAATCTACACGATAAAGCATGTAATATTAATTTAAATTCAATTTTCATCGTAGCTGATTCGTGACTATAAATATTTACATCATTAAGTTGATATTAAAGCCTAATTTTACATATGTGCATCAATCAAAATGATTAAAATTCAAATCTGATTCTGAAATTAGCTTACAAGCTGCACGAACATTTTCCATTAATCATCGACAATTTTCTTCACCCCCCAAAAAAATATTCTTTTTTTCGAATTTATTTTTAGAAGCTATACGAACGAATTTCTTTCCTTATTCCAAATAAAATATTTAATTTAAATTGAAAACATTTTTTTTTTGTTGAAGCAATCATCTTTTGATGTCGTAAATGTCAGTGACTGTGGATTTTTCTCTGAAATATTGGTACGTCACTGTTTGTATGCGAACGGAATTTAATGATTGTGATCATATATGATGAAAATTATGAACATCAATTGAGAATATTTTTTTGCCAAATAAAATTCACGAAAAATAATTTTTGATGACAAAATTTGTTTTTTTTTTTCTTCTTTACTCTGCTATAGACTTTGATTTTGACATGTTATGAACTGGAAGTTTCGTTCGAGCAAACACAACAGAATATCAAAAATAATCAGGACATTGATTGACAGTTTGAATCATGGAAGAAGAATCACATCATTTTATTGTGGAATTTTGACTATTTTTAGCGCATTTTTGAAACTTGTTTCAAAAAGGTAGCTTAATAACGCACTTTGGTCGGCTGGTCGGCTGGTCGGCTGGCTGGTCGGCCGCTAAGAAAAACTTTTAATCTAGACATCGTAGAGAGTTCTAGTTTTTTGCATTAGTTCCGTTATATCGAGTTATTGGCCCGCCGGACATTTAAAAATCTTAAAACAGTGTATTTATGCTATAATTAATGAATTTTTGTTTTGTTTTCAGTGTAACCTGCTCAAATTTTATTTTACCTCTATAATTTCAATATTACCTCTATAATTTCAAAAAATTTCTAGCCGTTGTAAAATTTGAATTTCAAAAAACCGTTAAATGATAAACTTTTTTTGTATGGAAATTCATTGGAACAAATTATTTAATTATACTATAATTAATTTTTTCGTAGTGCAACTTATAGCGGGAAAATTTCAAACTATTTATTGACCGTTAGAAAATTTGAATTACAAAAAAATGTTAAATGATAAACCCTTTCTGTATGAAAATTCATTGCAACAAATTATTTAATTATACTATAATTAATTTTTTCGTAGTGCAACTTATAGCGGGAAAATTTCAAATTATTATTATATTGACCGTTAGAAAATTTGAATTACAAGAAACCGTTAAATGATAAACTCTTTCTGTATGGAAATTCATTGCAACAAATTGTTTAATTATACTATAATTAATTTTTTCGTAGTGCAACTTTTAACGGCAAAATTTCAAATTATTTACTGACCGTTAGAAAATTTGAATTACAAAAAATCGTTAAATGATAAATCCTTTCTGTATGGAAATTCATTGCAACAAATTATTTAATTATACTATAATTAATTTTTTCGTAGTGCAACTTATAGCGGGAAAATTTCAAATTATTATTATATTGACCGTTAGAAAATTTGAATTACAAAAAACCGTTAAATGATAAACCCTTTCTGTATGGAAATTCATTGCAACAAATTGTTTAATTATACTATAATTAATTTTTTCGTAGTGCAACTTTTAACGGCAAAATTTCAAATTATTTACTGACCGTTAGAAAATTTGAATTACAAAAAATCGTTAAATGATAAATCCTTTCTGTATGGAAATTCATTGCAACAAATTATTTAATTATACTATAATTAATTTTTTC